AAAACGGTAAATGTCACAAAATTTTGTCTGTCACTTCCCCAAGTGTCCACCAGATGTCACCTATAGTCTAACATGAAATTGTAACTTGGCTCACCTATTATTAACGTCCTAGCTCAATTAGTGTATTTTTAATGTTATAAATCATATTTGTGACCTTGGAGCACAAAACCATTCATAAGGGTCAATTCTTTCAAATTGAGATTTATAAATAATAAATATATAAATAAATAAATAAACTCTCCATTGAAGTATGGCTTGTTAGGATATGACAATATTTGGCAGAGATACAACTATTTGAAAATCTGAAATCTGAGGGTGCAAAAAAATTGAAATATTGAGAAAATTGCCTTTAAAGTTGTCCAAATTAAGTTCTCAGCAATGCATATTACTAATCAAAAATGAAGTTTCGATATATTTGTAAATTTTAGGAAATAATGTAAAATATCTTAAAATTCTCTTCGTTGCACATTTTCTGTGATTTGATTACCTGGTTCCATGATTCATGCTCTGTGTGATTCTCCTGCTACACACAAAGCTTTCCAGACATCTACTAACTGTTTCAAACATGTTTCCTTACAGGAAGAGCTTGATGAGATTGTCTTAGCTTGGAACAATCACAGAATATGGCCCGTCCACAACTCACGGTCACCACAAGGCCGACCATCCATCATGTATGTAGTGTCTCATCTATATGGAGCCACAGACCACCTGCATCCAGTGCATCTGGAGACGGTTCAATTCTGTTTAGAAGAGTGTGTTTTCAAGGACTTTCCATGTGAGGAAGACATTTTTAACACATGCTGATCTTATGTCAGAGCATGATTTGAACCTTACAAACGATGTATTTTCAGCAGTGGACTTGAACATAACATGTAGGGAGCTAATTAACAGTGAGTTGGAACCTCATAACTGAAAAATGTGTTGCTGAAGACTTAATATTTGAGATTCGTATTCTATGGGTCAGTAGTAAAGACAAACAGGATATGTTTTAACTAGGGAATGGTTTAATTTTCTGGTTTAAAATAATATTCCAAAATTGCATTTGAAAAAAAAAAAACTAAAACAAAAAAACCCCCAGAAACTTTGGAAATGTGAACATGTAAAACACAGCTTGCTTTGACATGAATTATGTTGTTTAAGCTTAACTTCAGTTCCTTCCCAAATAATAAGTCTAAGTGTACTAGACTATCCATGACCCATTTGTTGCTCTCCATCGTTTTGTTAATTTCATGGCGAAACTCGGGGTAGTTATCATAATTCACAGGCAGCGCCAGCTTACAGTCACATGTGTGTGCAATGGGTCGTCTCTGTAAGCCTTTCAATTGTGTGAAGCTAACAGTGATGTCCTTTACCAGGAACAAATCTGACCCGGTGCAAAACCGAAGGAAGAGGTGTTGTTAATCTGATTCTCTAAGAAATGTACTTAGATAACTGTCAGTGTATTTTAGTTGTACATTCATCGTAGCAGAGTAAGCCATTGATTTCATGACCTTTCTTGATGTCTGTTGGAGTTCATCATAGGCAGCTGCAATGTCCTGGAGCTCAGTTCTCATAGGTGCAAGCACATGCCACTGCTCTATCACAAACGCAGGTTCTTGAATCAGCTTCTGATGTGCCATCTCCTCCAAGAGCTGCTTGATAAGATCTGCTGTTGGGACTCTTCGACAGTTATGATGATCCATGACCTCAAACAACTCTTCTTTTTCCACATCTTCAAAATGTGAATGGCATGATTCTAGGATCACCCCGTCTGATTCTATATCTGAGAAAGCAGTCCACAAGACTTGTTGTGACACATCCATGGGCTGCCTTTTCCAGCATTACAGGTGCTATTTTTACAGGCAGGTACTTCTCTTTTAGCCAACCAAATGCAATGATTCGGCCAATGCATTCCCACTCTTAAAAGTCTGCTAGTTGGTTAGATAGTTGCCCACATGAAGGATGTTTTTAACTTATGAAATCGTATTTGCAATGCAGAAAGAGTCTTTTCACTGTGTTACAGGTTCTAGACACAGCAAGTCATGTTAGGTCTTGAATGCACAGCCTGCTTAATTTAGCGCTATGAGCACTAATGCTGTGTTAGTGCTTCTGAGCAAATGAAGAGAAAGCAAGCCCACATATGCTGCAAAGCTTCTTTCCCAGTGAGAGAAAGTTGGTTTATGCAATGTTAAACCTTTTTTATATGGTTTTATCGGATTATTTCCATCTGATATGCAGCAAACATTGGATACTTTAACAGGAGCCCGAGTGTTTCCTTAGTGCAGGGATGTCAAACTCAATTCCTGGAGGCCCGGAGTCCTGCAGACTTTAGATTCAACCCTAATTAAACACCTGATCCAACTAATCAAGTCCTTCAGGCTTATTTGAAAACTACATGGTGTGTGTTGGAGCAGGGTTGGAACAAAACTCTGCAGGGCTCCGGCCCTCCAGGAATTGAGTTTGACACCCCTGCCTTAGTGCATGGGATCAGCAGTTACGGGTCAACTCTGAGTCCATCAGTGTGCATAGCCTCCTTTTTGAAAGGCTCTCTTCACATTTTTTTCTGGTTTTGGCCACAACTTAGCACGAGCTTCGCGATTTTTCTTTGAAAAGTCTTCTTTAAATTGGATGTTCATCTCTAGCATACACTGTTGAACCTCTTTTTCAAAAATAATAATGGATTTTGATGCATGAATTTACTGCGGTGAATATGAAATCTTGCAAGAAGTAATATAGGTTAATAGTAAAGTATTCATTGATTTGATCTTTTTGTATATTAAAGTCGTCGAACAGTACATACAACAGTACAAAACAAAACAAGGAGAAACCCAGGAGCACATTACGATTAATAACATTGAAAAATTCAATCCAAAATAGTTGTGTTAGGACAATCCCAGAAGATAAATATCGGTTTCATTAGGGGCACCACAAAAAGAGCAGCTTGTATCTATGTCTGATTTAAACCTTTTCAAAAACACTTTAGCTGGGTAAAATCTGTGTAATAATTTGAATGAGATTTCTAAGATTTCTATTTCAAAGGCAGAGTCCAAACGTTTTTCCAATCAATATGATCAACCAAATTCTTCCAATAAAGCACCACATATAGAGTGTCTCGGTTAGTTTCATGTAAATCAGGGCGGGTTGAAGTATCACCATTGGTTCACTAGTTCTATAGATTGACAGCTCCTCCTCTAGCCAATCAGTTAAAGAGGGCAGTTGATGTCACTCTAATGCACCTCATTAGCTGCCGATGGTGTTCTGTTCACTTGTACAGGTGAAATTGGATCTGTAAGCTGGGGTAACATCTTTCCCGACAGGACACCGTTATATGCACCCGTCTGTCACTGCTATACGCCCACCTTAAAAGGTAAATGTACTGAATGTGCTTTTCAGTGAATGTTATGATTTTTGTGTGAAAATTCTTTATGTATAAAACATTGGGTTTTAACTGGCAGAACGGTCTCAGTCCTCTCTGGGTGGACCGAACCTGTACAATTGTGTGTTCGATTACATCCTGGGGTGGAAGTCCCTAGGTGGCGTTGTTGGCTAAATTTGAAAACGTTAGTCAAGGTTTCTGTTTCTTTTGTTCCTTTTCTCAGTAAGTGTTATCACAATTAAAGTTTCTTACACTCAAATACCATCATAAATATACAGGAATCAAATACTTTTAGTAAATTAAGTGTAATGTGGAACTGTTTTCTGAAGCATTGAATACGCAGAACTATCAATTCAGAAAAAACGTTTTGTCAGATTCAAGCTAATAAAATTTTCTGACATTATCATTTCAAAACATTCTTTTTTTTTTAAAGGTCATCTTTGCAAGAGGCTGATTCAAAATTTAGCAATTTCATTTTCCATACACTCATTGCCACTTGCAGTTACATTTAGATTTATATAAGACATGAAAAGTATGTGGAACGTTTTTAGTATGTGAAACTCTTCTTTTTCTAACAGTTCCAAACTTTAGGTTCATAACGAGTCAACACTATGTCAAGCTTCACAGATTCAGATCCAGATCTGGGCTGAGTGACAATACACAATGTAATTACGGAAAAACAGGCAAACAAACAAAACAAAACAGAAAATATTTATTTCAAATTGTTTCACAATATTACTATGTGGATTTATAAAATGTAAATTATTCCTGTGATGCAAAGCTGAATTTTCAGCATTACTCCGGACTTTGTCACATGATCCTTTCAGAAATCATTCTAATATGCTGATTTGCTGCTAAATTATTATTATTTCTTAGTTATTAACAATGATTCTTCTTATCAATGCTAAAAACCGTTTTTGCTACTAAATATTTTTTGGAAACTTTTTTCAGGATTCTTTTTTATGAATAGAAAGTTAAAAAGAACAGCATTTATTTGAAATAGAATAATTTGTAACAGCTTTTACTGTCACGTTTGATCAATTCAATGCATATTTGCTGAATAAAAGTATAACATTTCCACAATATTACCGTTTTACTGTATTTTTGAGCACATAAATGCAACATGGGTGAGCAGAAGAGACTTGATTAAAAACATTTAAAATTCCCAAACTTTTCACAAGTATTGTTTTTTCCCTTATATACAGTGTATATATGCATATATCAACATTTTACAATTTTTATTATGAAAATTTTTCTTGTGAATAGGGCTGGACGATATGGTCAATTTATATCACGATATATTTCTTAATTTTGGTTGATGCGATATAATTCCGACATCGATATGAACACTATTTAAAAAAGCCTCATAAAAACTGCCAAGAACACCTACAACAGATGTCTGTGCATACAAACTTATGAAAAATGAATTTGCCAAGTCTATTACATTTTTTAGAAAATTCTTTGTTCACCTTTTATTTGTATTTAGCCTTCATACAAACAAAAAATGTGAAATCAGTGTCAAATAAACATCTCAGACTCACCTTATTAATAATTAATATCTTTAACTTCAAACTATAGGCTAACATACCAGTCAAAAGTTTTTAAACAGTAAGATTTTTCATGTTTATTAAAGAATTATCTTCTGCTCACCAAGTGAATTATTGTCCAGCCCTAATTGTGAACATGTTCAACATGTCTTTAATATTGTTGACATGACAACATATTGTCGTCTTTACCGTGACATATAGTCTGTATCGCAGTCTGTCTCCTCTGACCTGTTCTGTTCATGCATGTTTCCTATATGAGTCACCATATATTCTGATGTTGTGTCATGCTCAGTCCTCATGTCCAAATCAGAAGAACATAGAGAAAGGAGGTCTTGGCTTTCCACTTGCATTGGATCGTCTGTTTTCATTTCTTTCTGTGTGGGTGCACAAAGCTGTGGGTTTTTTTTCTGTCTCTCCAGGAGACTGATGTGAGATGTCGATAATTCTTGAACCTCACTTCCCACTAACTTGGGTAGCAGAGGGTTACAGACCTCCTCCTCATCCAAATCATCCTCTGGTCCCAGAGCCCTCAAAGTGACTGAAAACAAGTTGATGTTCCCCGAGACATCCGCTGCAACATCTTGATTCCCCTTCGATTGTAACTTCATTTTGACTTCAGGATGGCTGCTTCTATCTTCAGACATGTCTAATACAAATAGCTTTTTACAATCAAACTCATCATGATGGATTTGTTCCATGGCTACTTCTTTTGTATGGTAGATCCCTGAACTGTTATGGAGGGTCGAAATTGAAACTATAGCCTTCTCTTCTCTATTATTAGTTTCCCAACCACTGCTGTCAGTTACACAATCCATGTAGTTGCAGTTGCCTTCATCTTCTTCCTCATCCTCTGTATCTGCCTGTGAGAACAACAGCAGGTGAATTTGCAATAAAAACATGTTTCATGGTGGCAGTGTATTTTTATAACATGATTGAGTGACTAGGAATAGTCTGTGGCATGACTGGTGCAAGTAAAGGAACCAGAATTTTAATAACGGTCGTTAATAACTGCTGTCAGATCATTTGCATAAAGGCTGAAAAATAATTCACAGAACATTAGAAACTCAAATTTCACAACGCTTGAAACGTATTATATCAGTTAATCAAGCAATATGTATGTGCATTCATTTGCTCCTATAAGACCTGGAAAATCAGCTCTTCTATCCAACCCAGCAGATGTTTTTCCTTAAAAAAAAATTAAATCTTAAAAACCGACCTCTCAGTGCGTTGAACAGGGAGACATCTAAAATGTTCTAAGTAATATAACAATTTAAGCCTTAATATCATCATATATATATATTAGGGCGGTCAGTTTAACGCGCTAACTTAATTAATTAGTTATGAAAAATAACACTATTAAAATATTTTAACGCAGTTAACGCCCCCAGACCTGCATATCATCTATTATTTCATACAATTGACTGTTGACAAATATGATGCAAGGCAATGACCCCATAACCAAAGTTATGCCATAAAATTCAAGATATTGGGGTATAAATATGTCACAGGTAAATAAGATATAAAAATGCCCCTTTATGAGTTTTTGTCTCTAAGGGTGCTTTCACACCTGGCCTGTTGTTTCGGAACCTGGCATTAATTAATTTCACACCTGGCCTGTTGTTTTCGGAACCTGGCATTAATCGGAACCTGGCATTCCCCCCGTAGCTCGGTTCGTTTGGGCATATGTGAACACGGCAATCGCGCTCGGATCCGCGCCAAAACAATCGGTCCGAGATCGCCTGAACGAGGTGGTCTCGGCTCGATTGAAAACGAACTCTGGAGCGGTTCGGTTGTAGTGAGAAAGCAATCCGATCCAACGGACCAACGAACCAGGCTATATCACAATTGGGTAATTACGTAAGTTCCGTGAAAAGCATCAGCTTTGTTGTTTTGCTAATACCTCATAATGAACCTTTTTTTTTTGACGTGACATGTGGCCAAGTATGGTGACCCATACTCGGAATTAGTGCTCTGCATTTATCCATCCAAAGTGCACACACACAGCAGTGAACACACACACACCGTGAACACCCACCCGGAGCAGTGGGCAGCCATTTATGCTGCGGCGCCCGGTGGAGCAGTTGGGGGTTCGGTGCCTTGCTCAAGGGCACCTCAGTCGTGGTATTGAAGGTGGGAGAGTGTGCTGTACATTCACTTCCTCCAACCTACATTCCCTGCCAGTACGAGACTCGAACCCACAACCGGGGGTTATGAGTCCGACTCTCTAACCATTAGGCCACGACTTCCCTCATGAATGTCTGTGAACCTGTGAATGTCTGTGGGTGAGCACGTCTTTGCCATTCAAAAATCAAAGCGCACTTTATTTTATAATGCCGTCTTATTGCTGCTCTTCTTTGTAGGTGCATTTTAAAAATGTTTTCTCGATCAATCCTGGACTCCTGCTCAAAATGATAAATTATTATAACGACAGCTACAAAAAACAACAACAACAACAACAATAAGCCCGTGAAGCTGTTATCGTTCCATCCTGATGGATGACATGCATGACAGCTCAGTGGAATCCCGGAAAATAAACCGTGGAACTTTGACCAATGAGAGAACAGTTTACACGCACATGACTTGTATTAACAAATTTGGTCCGTTTAGAAATTTTGCCATGTGAAAGCGAACTGCTCCAAGAATAAAAAGCAACATTGTAATAATTTTAATCCCTATTTCGGAACAAAGCAATCGATCTACAGGTGTGAAAGCACACTTAGGGTGCTTTCACACATGGCTCGTTGTTTCGGAACCTGGTGCGTTTCCCCCCGTAGCTCGGTTTGTTTGGGCATATGTGACCACGGCAATCACGCTCGGATCTGCGCCAAAACAATCGGTCCGAGATCGCCTGAACGAGGTGGTCTCGGCTTGATTGAAAACGAACTCTGGAGCGGTTCAGTTGTAGTGAGAAAGCAATCCGATCTAACGGACCAACGAACCAGACTATATCACAATGAATAATGGGTAAATACGTAAGTTCCGTGAAAAGCATCAGCTTTGTTCTTTTGCGAATACCTCAAAATGAACCTGTGAATGTCTGTGGGTGAGCACGTCTTCGCCATTCAAAATAAAAAAGCGCACTTTTTAATTTTATAATGCCGTCTTATTGCTCTTCTTCCTAGTAGGTGCATTTAAAAAATGTTTTCCCGATGAATCCTGGACTCCTGCTCAAAATGATAAATTAATATAAGGACAGCTACAAAAAAAAAAAAGCTGTTGTTGTTCCATCCTGACGGATGACAGCCGTGACAGCTAAGTGGAATCCCGGAAAATAAACCGTGGAACTTTGACCAATGAGAGAACAGTTTACTCACGCGTGACTTGCATTAACAAATTTGGTCCATTTAGAAACTTTGCCGTGTGAAAGCGAACCGCACCAAGATTAAAAAGCAACATTGTAATAATTTTAATCCCTGTTTCGGAACAAAGCAAGCGATCTACAGGTGTGAAAGCGCCCTATTTATATATAAGCGATATCACACCAGCAGCAAGAGCAATATCACACAGTGCTGTTTTTGTCACGAAGAACACGAGTGCAAATCATAGACTCTATAGGGCTAGGCTATAAGGAGCAAATGTGATTTTATACAACACTTCAGTAAACACGTTTACATTGTGTTACATTTTAAACACAATATTGTGTGTTTTTGTTCAAAGCCCATTCATAGTGAGAGCCGTTTACTTGATTCCTGAATGAATCAGCCGTTTGAACAAATCGAATAGAATGACGGTGCCTTTTGAAGCGTCCCTAAGAAATAATCAAACATAGATTTAATATAACAACAAATAAATTTGCAATTTATAACATAATATGCATTCTTTCATCAATATTACACATTATTTAAATATTACTTTAAATAATTTAAATAGCATTTATGCCGATACGTTTTTGGCCTGTCCCTTACTATGATTTTTCTTTTTCAGCACAACTTTTTAATTTGGAAAATGAAGGCAAAATGACATAAAAATCACATTTGCATATTGTTTGAAATATAGTCTCATTGTTAAGCAATGTTTTTGGCATAAGTATGCATTTTTTTCTATAAAATATCATTCATTTTATTGGTGTCCCCTGATTTCATGTCAGCCCTGTTAACCTCATCAAAAAAAAACTTGTAAAATGTACATTCAAGTGACAATTTCTAGGAGGTTATATAATCTCTCAACCAGGATTCCTACACTTAAAACACAAGCATGTTGTAGAAGCTCTCACTTTATAATGCTCTACTATAAAGGGGGGGGGGGGATCATGCATTGTCAATACTGTTACCATTTTCAAAATGTACATTTAAACTATTATTTATTACATTTAATATAATTAATATCTACAAGTAAAATAATTGCAAAGTGTACTTTTGTGAACTTGACTATTAGCTAGAAATTAGCATATTAGTTTGATATTGTCAGACCTGTTACTTTTCAGGGTAACAGGGATAACATAGATTAGGTGTCACTCTGTGTAAAATGTAAACATGTTTAAAGGTCACCCTGGGTGTAATTTTGAGCTAATGCCTATATCATTCAGTGGATTAGAGCATGAGTTACATTTTAGTTAGTATTATTGGTTTTGTTACTAGGTATATATTACTATTGTTGTTAATGACTTGGGGCCTCGTGTATAAAAAATGCCTATATCATTCAGTGGATTAGAGCATGAGTTACATTTTAGTTAGTATTATTGGTTTTGTTACTAGGTATATATTACTATTGTTGTTAATGACTTGGGGCCTCGTGTATAAAACTCTCCGTAGATTTCATCCTAAAAGTGTACATACGCACAAAAGCTAGAACCTGCGCAAAAATCCCTTTATAAATTCCAGTCAGGGGAAGATTGTGCGTACGTGCATCTCCACCCCGAAATCACCATATATGCCTAGTTACAATGCCTAGTTTTACTATGCATAACCTCATCTGCATATAATTTCTATGCATATTCCATCCACGTGACACCATGTTTAACACCGTCAAAGGTACAAGACGTTAGGGAAATATGAGATATGGACTAAATGCCATTTGTGCCACATTAACTTTTATTGCCAAAATCATCCAGAATGTTTTAGAATATATCAAAATATCCATAAAAACAAAACTGTTTAGTTCTCAGATAAATAGCCTATTTTAGAATATACTTGACCTCATTCTTTTCCACTGGCCAAATAATTGTTTTAAACAATTCAAATAAAATAAAATTGATGCAGTTCTGCTGAAAAGGTGTTTTAGCTATTTTTTTTAGCTATTAAGATCTAAGATCTTGCTGCCAGGAAGAATCTACTGATGTCATGGATCAGTGATAAGCCTCCCTCCATCAAAGGCTGGCATTCAATCATTAGGGAGATTATTCCTCTGGAACTCTTGACCTGTATTATTCATTCTACAACAGATGCTTTTAATCGTATATGGACACCATACCTTAACTGCATAAATGCTTCTGTGACATTTTGTGGCTTGGTATGACAGTGTTCCTAGAGGTGTATAGACAATTCATGTATTCTCCAGTTTTTATTGTTAATTTTGATCTGTGATACAATGCTCTGCTTGTCATCTTATGTACAATTTAGTTTTTGTATTCTCTTTTGTTGTATATCAGGCAGTGTGTGTATGTTACTGTTTTGTATTGTGTTGAAAGTTATACAAAAATAAAATAAATAAATAATAAAAAAAGCCTATATTTATTACAGTGTAAATACAATTTGTCTGACTCTGCGCATCAATGACAAAGTATTTTAAAAAAGGAAACACGCAAATCTCACAGTTTTTTTTCCAAGTTGTATCCTTCAAATACAGTGGTCATAATGTTGTGGAGATCTCTGTGCAGTAGCTATTATTCAAGCCGGACAAGACTGTTGACCAGCGAATCCAGCAGTGTTCCACCATAATATTGAAATAAGTGTGCATCATTGATCATTGTTCTCGCTAAAAAATTCTCATAACATGAGATCTGCAGTTTAGTTTAAATATGAATTATTATAGCACTCCTTGCTGTCATTAAACATTGCATGCGGCAGGAACAGTGATTAAGCGCATCAGCTACAAATATGTCTAAATTCATGTAATTTTGGTTTAACTTCTGCGTAACCATTTTATGTAATTTCAGTACGTCTCTCCATTAATGAGTGTGGAATATTTAATGCAAATGTGTATATCGAAAAGAACACAGAGTTTAAAATCCTTGTTTACTTCATTACGTTTCTCACTCCAGGAAAAAGTACAGTCAAGAGAATCCATACGGTGCGCACATATTTACACCAAGTTTATTTTTATAAATCCAGATACGTGTGTGGAAAACAGCTTACGCACATTTCTATGCATATTTTGTGTGTACGCAACGTTTATACATGAGGCCCCTGGATAGGATGGTCAGTCTCAATAAAACAAATTTTTTCCCAAAACTCATCGTCAATAATGCATCCATGTAAATTCAATTACAAACAAGAGCAGCAAGGTGACTGCAGACCTTCACCCCAGTCTTGCAATGGTCAACAAAGTCAAGATCTTGGTCTGGTTTCAGATGATCACAGAAAGACCAAGATCTGATCATCTTCCTTGCCTAATAATTGAACCAGATCAGTATATTTGAAGTTCTGTGAGGGGACACAGACAAACAGATGGACACATTATCTAATTACAATACCCTTAAAACATTAGATCTCTTAGAAATGTAATGCGCTAATTCAACAATCATCAATGAATTGACTTAAACTGAAAAATGTACTGTTTATTATTGTCATACAACTATGCCAAGTAAGTGCAAAATAATTGGAATCCAGGTTTTTCCATTGTAATTTTTGGACAAAGCCCTTTTTTAAATAGCTTTCTTGTAAAAATATTTTTTTTTCTTAATTGACATGTGGTCACCCTCCAAAATTAGGATGTTCTTGGTCATCTGAATGACAAATATAAAAATATATTTTTTAAAAATCCCAAATATAAAACAATCCCAGTGAAAAGAGGGACTAAAATGCTGCTCATGTGCAAACTATCACATAGTTCTAATTAAACTATAATATCTAGCAACGCTTGTGTCGGTAACAGGATTGACAAAAATACCAAAACATGAGGTAGATAAATAGTCATAAAATAATAAATTACATAGCCTGAGATGGCATATAAAACTCTCCGTAGATTTCATCCTAAAAGTGTACATACGCACAAAAGCTAGAACCTGCGCAAAAATCCCTTTATAAATTCCAGTCAGGGGAAGATTGTGCGTACGTGCATCTCCACCCCGAAATCACCATATATGCCTAGTTACAATGCCTAGTTTTACTATGCATAACCTCATCTGCATATAATTTCTATGCATATTCCATCCACGTGACACCATGTTTAACACCGTCAAAGGTACAAGACGTTAGGGAAATATGAGATATGGACTAAATGCCATTTGTGCCACATTAACTTTTATTGCCAAAATCATCCAGAATGTTTTAGAATATATCAAAATATCCATAAAAACAAAACTGTTTAGTTCTCAGATAAATAGCCTATTTTAGAATATACTTGACCTCATTCTTTTCCACTGGCCAAATAATTGTTTTAAACAATTCAAATAAAATAAAATTGATGCAGTTCTGCTGAAAAGGTGTTTTAGCTATTTTTTTTAGCTATTAAGATCTAAGATCTTGCTGCCAGGAAGAATCTACTGATGTCATGGATCAGTGATAAGCCTCCCTCCATCAAAGGCTGGCATTCAATCATTAGGGAGATTATTCCTCTGGAACTCTTGACCTGTATTATTCATTCTACAACAGATGCTTTTAATCGTATATGGACACCATACCTTAACTGCATAAATGCTTCTGTGACATTTTGTGGCTTGGTATGACAGTGTTCCTAGAGGTGTATAGACAATTCATGTATTCTCCAGTTTTTATTGTTAATTTTGATCTGTGATACAATGCTCTGCTTGTCATCTTATGTACAATTTAGTTTTTGTATTCTCTTTTGTTGTATATCAGGCAGTGTGTGTATGTTACTGTTTTGTATTGTGTTGAAAGTTATACAAAAATAAATAAATAATAAAAAAAGCCTATATTTATTACAGTGTAAATACAATTTGTCTGACTCTGCGCATCAATGACAAAGTATTTTAAAAAAGGAAACACGCAAATCTCACAGTTTTTTTTCCAAGTTGTATCCTTCAAATACAGTGGTCATAATGTTGTGGAGATCTCTGTGCAGTAGCTATTATTCAAGCCGGACAAGACTGTTGACCAGCGAATCCAGCAGTGTTCCACCATAATATTGAAATAAGTGTGCATCATTGATCATTGTTCTCGCTAAAAAATTCTCATAACATGAGATCTGCAGTTTAGTTTAAATATGAATTATTATAGCACTCCTTGCTGTCATTAAACATTGCATGCGGCAGGAACAGTGATTAAGCGCATCAGCTACAAATATGTCTAAATTCATGTAATTTTGGTTTAACTTCTGCGTAACCATTTTATGTAATTTCAGTACGTCTCTCCATTAATGAGTGTGGAATATTTAATGCAAATGTGTATATCGAAAAGAACACAGAGTTTAAAATCCTTGTTTACTTCATTACGTTTCTCACTCCAGGAAAAAGTACAGTCAAGAGAATCCATACGGTGCGCACATATTTACACCAAGTTTATTTTTATAAATCCAGATACGTGTGTGGAAAACAGCTTACGCACATTTCTATGCATATTTTGTGTGTACGCAACGTTTATACATGAGGCCCCTGGATAGGATGGTCAGTCTCAATAAAACAAATTTTTTCCCAAAACTCATCGTCAATAATGCATCCATGTAAATTCAATTACAAACAAGAGCAGCAAGGTGACTGCAGACCTTCACCCCAGTCTTGCAATGGTCAACAAAGTCAAGATCTTGGTCTGGTTTCAGATGATCACAGAAAGACCAAGATCTGATCATCTTCCTTGCCTAATAATTGAACCAGATCAGTATATTTGAAGTTCTGTGAGGGGACACAGACAAACAGATGGAACACATGATCTAATTACAATGCCCTTAAAACATTAGATCTCTTAGAAATGTAATGTGCTAAATCAAAAATGAACTGACTTTAACTGAAAAACTGACTGTTTACTATTGTCATACAACTATGCTAAGTAAGTGCAAAACAATATAATGCAATTTAAAATGGTAAAACTGTACAGTATTATGTAAACAAATATGTGCAGTGTGCTGAAGAATGTGTGTCCTGGCATCCCTGTTATTCTGGTCAGTCCTGTGACTATGACGTCAATCCTGTTACTGTCATTAATTTCATAAAATTGTAAAAAATTACATTTGATACAGACTTCCAGCTTTTTCCATTGTAACTTTAGATATATATTTTAATATCTCTCTTGTAAAGATATAAATTTTTCTTAACTGACATGTGGTCATCCTTAAAATTAGGATGTTTTTGGTCGTCTGAATGACAAATATAAAAATATTTTTAAAAAATACAAAATTTGAAACAATCCCAGTGAAAAGAGGGACTAAAATGCTGCTCATATATGTGAAACTATCACACAGTTCTAATTAAACTATAGTATCTAGTAACGCTTGTGTCGGTAACAGGGTTGACAAAAATACCAAAACATGAGGTAGAAAAATAGCCATAAAATAATAAATTACATAGCCTAAGATGGCACAATACAATTTCTTGTCATTTTAAGGTGTCTTCATTTCATGGATATTTAAAAAAATGCTGATTAAACTTATTTTATCTTCTCATTTTTCCAAGTGGAAAAGGCACCGATTTTGTGGAATGACCCATATATATGTTTTAAAATGGGTATCAGACAGACCTTGTTGACATAGTTTTCCTCGTCTTCAATTTGCTTGCCTTCTGGATCTTCCTCTGCATTCAGTGGGTTGTTGTTTTTGGTGGGATGATTTTTAGATACACTGATTAACTGTGACTCAGTCAGTGATACTCTCTCATATAATATCTGTTCAGGAATCAGATAGTACATTTCAGTGATGTTACCCTAAATGAGGGAAAAAAAAGCAATAGAGAGAGATACATGAGACTTAGTCAAAATGATGACTCTTGCTCCAGCTCTACTAATAAAAGGTTTGGACGCACTTGAAGGGATATATGATTTTCATTATGTACATTGCATTTTCTCACATAATATTGTAACAGTTTGTGTTAAAAAGAGTGTAATCAGACTTCAGCCACTAATATGTTTTAACTGAAATTGTGCACAAATGCTGGGGGATATCAAAACATCTCCAGTGTCAACACTTCAGACTCCAGAGGAGACTTTAAAGTGGACTTGCTCACAATCATTACCAATGCAGTTCAACAATTCACTGTTTCTCGAAAGCATAGTTCCAACAAACAAACGAACAGCAGTGCAAAGTTGTGTGGTAAGGTTGGAAGTACAGTATAGCTCTCGGCCTTAGAAGGTTCATTTTATTATTTATAATAAATTCCATTTGCCACCACAAACAATTTGGCAGAATTGTGAAGGTGGATCATGAATGGGTACTTGGTAAAAACCCACCAAAATGTATAAATATTATTAAAATATTACTTTTATTAATTAAAATGAATAATATATATATATATATATATTTTTTTATTTATAACATTTTCTTGTACTATAATATGTGACCCTGGACCACAAAACTAGTCATGAGGGTAAATTTTTCGAAATTGAGATTTATACATCAACTGAAAGCTGAATGAATAAGCTTTCCATTGGTGTATGGTTTGTTAGGATAGGACAATATTTGGCCGAGATACAACTAAAAAGCTGGAATCTAAGGGTGCAAAAAAATCTAATTATTGAGAAAATCGCCTTTAAAGCTGTCTAAATGAATTCATTAGCAATGCATATTACTAATCAAAAATTTAGTTTTGATATATTTACAGTAGGAAATTTACAAACTATCTTCATGGAACATGATCTTTACTTAATATCCTAATGATTTTTGGCATAAAATAAAAATCTATAATTTTGACCCATACAATGTTTTTTTTGTCTATTGCTACAAATATACCTGTGCTACTTAAGACTGTTATTGTGGTCCAGGGTCACATATAGTTATGAAATATATACAATATTTAAATTGTGCCAGTCTATCAGCATAATTGCAAATGTAATTTAAGTCTCTGATTAACACAGTGGTGTTTCGTTTAAGTGAATCAATCAAACAACATAAGGTAAGGGTTAGTAAACGATGATAGAATTTTTGGGTAAACTATGGCTGTAGCAGAAACTCTTCCAATTGAGAATCAACAATACAAGCCTATGTAATACAACACAGCTATGCTGCAGCTTTGCATACACATTGCTTTTTGGTGCAATGTGAAACAGGTGTCAGAATAAATGTACTGTTATTGTAATTTACTGACATTTATTAGCCAGGCAACATTACTATGCTCAGCAACAATTTCTTCTTCTGTTCTAGGTAAGAAAAGGTAAGGTAAGAAAAACTAATGTTGTAAATAAAAGATGAATGACAAATTACTGATGATAGCAAATGCAGAATATGGCAAATGCTGTATATGAATGTAGAAAAGACTTACCAGTGATTTAAGAAGAGTGGACTTGGGTTTACATATAGATCCAGTGTAAACCAGACTCAAAGCAAGCACCAGCACACCTAAACCTGACACTGCCGCTCCCAGTGACCAACTCATTAAATAGAGCACTGCAGAAAGAGAAATGTAGAATACAATCAAAAACATTATATCCATGCAGTAGCTACAGTTTTTTTTCCTGGATAACACTGGGCACACTGACTGGGGTGGGACTCAAATTTAGACCTCAGTAGTTTCTCACTAAAACAATACAGCATCACATACAGCTCTAAATTCCACTCTCAATAATTTTTTCCCATCTGATGCTTTGCCTCATGAATGCTTAATAGTGTTATAAATCCAGTTCATGAGCTTGACAAGAGATATCCATATGTAGAACATTTTAACTGCATTAAAGTTATCAAACACGTTTTTGATCTAAAAATGGTCATTTGTTTTTATTATTAAGCTTTGCAACTTGCATTTTTAATATTAACAACTCTGATAATACATCCTTTCTCTTTTCAAATCCACATTTTTCCTAATACTGCTGCTGAGGTACTGTTTTTCACTTTGACATAATTTTCTCTTCTGCCGTATCTCTTTTGGAAAGTTGTGGAATTACAATAGTGGATTATTAATCTTTTTAATTACACTTATACAAGTAATAATGAATTTGATTATATCTGTAATTTTATCAAGACTACTCAATTTCACTTGCACAAAATTTAAATATATATATATTAATAATGAATTTGATGATATCAGTAATTTTATCAAGACTACTCAATTTCACTTGAGGAAAAAAAATAAAATAAAAATTACTAAAGTCAGGAAAAAAGAAGAAATGTCCCCTTTTCAGGATGTAGTAATTTAGAGATAATTTTGTAAAATCCAAATAAGATCTTCGAAAGGGTATAAACAATGTTTTTCATACTTGTTCAAAAAAATCATAAGTCTTGCACATACACCTGTGGAATGATCCTTAAGACACTTATGGTTTACAGGCTGTAGGCAACTAAGGTCAGTTACAATAACTTAAAAGACAGTAAAGAGACATTTCTACTGACTCTGAAACACCAAAAGAAAAATGCCCAGGGTCCCTGATCACCTGCTGAACATGCCATAATCCTGCTGCAGGAAGCATAATGACTACAGATGTGGCCAAAGCAATAAAATGCTGCTATATCCATAACGTAAGAGGGAGTCAGGAAAGACAGCTGATCGTCCTTGCAGTGGCAAACCAAGGTGACCATGTATCCCCTCAGAAATGTTTGGGAACGTGCAAATGCCTTGGTGGAATAGTGAGGTAACATCTCACAACAAAAACTGTATGTTTAAGATACAGAGAACACTCTACAGAGATATCTGTCATTTTAATTTGATTATAAGTAGGTAATTCTGAATGGCCAAAAAAGAATTGGTAACACTTTACAATAAGGTTCATTAGTTAACTACATTAGTTAACATGAACTAATAATGAACTGCACTTATACAGCGTTTATTAATCTTTGTTAATGTTAATTTCAACATTTACTAATACATTATTAAAATCTTGTTAACATTAGTTAATGCACTGTGAACTAACATGAACTAACAATGAACATCTGTATTTTTATTAACTAATGTGAGCGTAGATTAGTAAATACAGTAACAAATGTATTGCTCATGGTTAGTTCATGTTAGTTAATACATTAACTAATGTTTAACTAATGAACCTTATTGTAAAGTGTTACCAAAGAATTTTTACTATTCATAATTCTAATTACAGAGATCTATTCAAAATTAAAATACAAACATTTGTGGATGCCAATAGCCTCGTGGTTAGTGCACCGACATATAGTTTGATTCCTATCTCAAAGTCCTTTGCCGATCCCACCCCCTCTCTCCACCCAATGGAGAGTCAGCTCTCTACTGTCCTGTCCCAATAAAGGCAGTAAACGCTTGTAAATATAACTTAAAAGAAAATACAAACATCTATGTTATATTTTTTAGATATTTAAATGTTATGACTGAGCCATTTATTGTTATGTAGCTGTGTATATTTTTTTGTGTTTGTGCATGTGCATCTTGTGTGTGTTTGTGTCTCCAGGGATGATTTGATGGAGGCTGCTACTGATTCTCCTCCACTTTCTGTCTACTCTGTATTACCGTGTATCATTTTGTCATTCTGCTATTTAGTGTCATTTTGTAATCGCTCATCATTCATTCTCTTCTGAGGGTCGTGCCAGAGAAATTGTGATAGAAATTGAGAGCGTGCTTGTAATTGTAACTTATGATATTTGTTTGAAATTTTTGCCATTTACTTCAACATATCCCTTGTTAATACTTTTTGTACATAGTTCCCTTCCGAGGGAACATCGAACTGCGTCCTCTAGCGGTCACTATGAGGAATGCCTTCAGCGTGACCGGTGTCTGAAGCATACATCTAAACCCGACAATAACATTGGCCGGCGACAGTTAATGACGTCATTATAATGACCACAGTATAAAAGGGCGCCGGAAGAACACGTCATCTTCTTTTTCATCTTCATTGACCATATGTTTATGTTAGCGGTAAGCTAAGCGCGACTAGGAATGCATGTTCCATCGCCAGAAGCTTTGCTCTGATACCCACAGTTCACATGGCTCACGTGTTGTGTGTGGTGAAGAGCAAGCACATTCAGTTCTTGAGGAAGTTGAATGCGCTCGCTGCATTCATTGCTTATTTATTTGTGAGGGACAAGCTTGAATTGAACAAGCTCGACTCACGAGGAGATGGCTTGTGCTCATCGTAATGCATTTGTTGGACTACTGAGAGGGTAGGTGAGTACTTCACCATTTACCCGAGTTTGTAGATTTTTGCATGAGTGTGTTCGTGGTACTCTTTCGGGAATAGCGATGCAGTGGTTTCCATTCTCGCTTGATTTCCGATGTAATCTAGCCCGTGAGTGGAGCGCGTTTAACTCCAGCGGGAGCTGAATGCATGCTGCATGTTGCAGTGAGAATTGTCTGCCCATTGCCCGCAATTCACGGTTGATGGGCAGAACATGGAAAGGACCTGATGGGAAATCTTTTCCCTATCAGTAATTTCCTGTTTTATATATACAGTGGGTACGGAAAGTATTCAGACCCCCTTAAATTTTTCACTCTTTGTTATATTGCAGCCATTTGCTAAAATCATTTAAGTTAATTTTTTTTCCTCATTAATGTACACACAGCACCCCATATTGACAGAAAAACACAGAATTTTTGACATTTTTGCAGATTTATTAAAAAAGAAAAACTGAAATATCACATGGTCCTAAGTATTCAGACCCTTTGCTGTGACACTCATATATTTAACTCAGGTGCTGTCCATTTCTTCTGATCATCCTTGAGATGGTTCTACACCTTCATTTGAGTCCAGCTGTGTTTGATTATACTGATTGGACTTGATTAGGAAAGCCACACACCTGTCTATATAAGACCTTACAGCTCACAGTGCATGTCAGAGCAAATGAGAATCATGAGGTCAAAGGAACTGCCTGAAGAGCTCAGAGACAGAATTGTGGCAAGGCACAGATCTGGCCAAGGTTACAAAAAAAATTCTGCTGCACTTAAGGTTCCGAAGAGCACAGTGGCCTCCATTCCTTAAATGGAAGACGTTTGGGATGACCAGAACCCTTCCTAGAGCTGGCCGTCTGGCCAAACTGAGCTATCGGGGGAGAAGAGCCTTGGTGAGAGAGGTAAAGAAGAACCCAAAGATCACTGTGGCTGAGCTCCAGAGATGCAGTCGGGAGATGGGAGAAAGTTGTAGAAAGTCAACCATCATTGCAGCCCTCCACCAGTCGGGGCTTTATGGTAGAGTGGCCCGACGGAAGCCTCTCCTCGGTGCAAGACACATGAAAGCCCGCATGGAGTTGTGAGATGGTGAGAAATAAGATTCTCTGGTCTGATGAGGCCAAGATAGAACTTTTTGGCCTTAATTCTAAGTGGTATGTGTGGAGAAAACCAGGCACTGCTCATCACCTGTCCAATACAGTCCCAGCAGTGAAGCATGGTGGTGGCAGCATCATGCTGTGGGGGTGTTTTTCAGCTGCAGGGACAGGACGACTGGTTGGAATTGAGGGAAAGATGAATGCGGCCAAGTACAGGGATTTCCTGGACGAAAACCTTCTCCAGAGTGTTCAGGACCTCAGACTGGGCCGAAGGTTTATCTTCCAACAAGACAATGACCCTAAGCACACAGCTAAAATAATGAAGGAGTGGCTTCACAACAACTCTGTGACTGTTCTTGAATGGCCCAGCCAGAGCCCTGACTTAAACCCAATTGAGCATCTCTGGAGAGACCTAAAAATGGCTGTCCACCAACGTTTACCATCCAACCTGACAGAACTGGAGAGGATCTGCAAGGAGGAATGGCAGAGGATCCCCAAATCCAGGTGTGAAAAACTTGTTGCATCTTTCCCAAAAAGACTCATGGCTGTATTAGATCAAAAGGGTGCTTCTACTAAATACTGAGCAAAGGGTCTGAATACTTAGGACCATGTGATATTTCAGTTTTTCTTTTTTAATAAATCTGCAAAAATGTCAACAATTCTGTGTTTTTCTGTCAATATGGGGTGCTGTGTGTAAATTAATGAGGGAAAAAAATTAACTTAAATGATTTTAGCAAATGGCTGCAATATAACAAAGAGTGAAAAATTTAAGGGGGTCTGAATACTTTCCGTACCCACTGTATAAGGAATTGTATAATGTGGATATCTGTCTGCAGTTGTTGGACAGATGATTTATATCATGTCCTTATCAGATAACCACATTATGCTGCACTCCAGGAGCCCATACCTCCACCTGACTGAGGTTAGGCAGGAGCCTCCTGCGATTCCATTGCAGTCTCTCATGCTGGACCTATGATGTTTTTGGTTAGTTTCTATGTCTCATAGAACTACCTACTACCAAGTGTTCTTCGGACGTTACTTGGACCTGTCTTTGTACCTCTGACTTTGTTACAGGGTTAGGACCTCTATGAGTACTTCCCCTGCTGAAGTCATCCACACGCTGAGCGTCTGTGCACTTTCTAATATCCTGTATGGTATGGGTTACGCACTGCCAGCCTCGTATCCTTTCTCTGAGTTGGCTCAGGCTCTTCCTGAGCAGGGTGTTTGCTACCAAGGACTTGTCGAGTTAGTTCCTTTGAGCAAGCTCATGCAGAGCTGGCGGTAGCCCCCTTGGGTGACAGGCCAAGGTCTAGTTTATTGTTCTAGACCAGGGGTTGCGAACGTCGGTCCTGGAGAGCCGCAGCCCTGCAGAGTTTTGCTTCAACCCTAATCAAACACACCTGAACAAGCTAATCAAGGTCTGAAGGGTTACTAGAAAGCTACAGGCAGGTGAGTTTTAATTAGGGTTGGAGCTGTACTCAACAGGGCTGCGACTCTCCAGGACCGGAGTTCGCCACCGCTGTTCTAGACGCTTGGCCGTATCCCCTTAAAGGAATCTCTTTGTTTCTGATTCCAAGCCTTCGAGCTCTGCCCTGGGTTCAGGCGTTCCAAGCCCAGCCCTTAATAGGTAAGTTATTAGGGTATGCAGCTCAGGCCCTTTAGGCCAAAGGGGATAATGTCACTGACAGCCGTCAAGGCATCCTTGGGGCAACTCCCATAGCTTTGGTAGAGTTTGTACTTAGTGCTCGCCTTGGTGCTTGGCATGCACTCCCCTCAGCATGGCAGAGTGGGCATACCATTCCCCATGGCAACCTCTAGAGGATGCAGTTTGATGTTCCCTCGGAAGGGAACGTCTCAGGTTACGTATGTAACCATGGTTCCCTGAGAGGGGAACGAGACACTGCATCCTCTAGAAGCCTCGCCATGCTTCGGATGGCAAGCTTCAGATGAAGAAACAGATGACGTGTTCTTCCGGTGCCCTTTTATACTTCGGTCGTGCTGGTAATGATGTCATAGGCTGTCGCCGGCCAATGTTATTGTCGTGTTTAGATGTATGCTTCAGACACCGGTCACGCAGAAGGCATTCCCCGTAGCGACTGCTAGAGGACGCAGTTCGATGTTCCCTTCTCAGGGAACCATGGTTACATACGTAACCCGAGATGTTTTAATAATTAAGGGGTAAGTAGGGAGTGTAAATTTGAGCAGTCATGGCCAAATGGTTAGATAGTCAGACCTGTAATCCGAAGGTTGCGGGTTCAAGTCTCAGGTCCAGCAGGGATTGTAGGTGGGGGGAGTAAATAACCAGTGCTCTCTTCCACCTTCAATACCACGACTGAGGTGAGACCCTTGAGCAAGGCACTGAACCCCCAACTGCTCCCTGGGCACCGCAGCAATATGGCTGCCCACTACTCTGGGTGTGTCTTCACGGTGCGTGTTCAATACTGTGTGCGTGCACTTGGATGGATTAAATGCAAAGCACAAATTCCGAGTATGGGTCATCACCATACTTGGCCACATGTCACTTCACACCATTTTCTTTGAATTTACATCTTTTCAATGTGATTTAGACTTTTACTAGTAAGAATAAAAACAAAACAAAAAGGAAGTCAATGGAGACACTTCACTACACAATAGTAAATTGTGGACAAGTGAGCCTCTAGCTCTCTTTCATGTTCAGTTTAAAGCTCTGCATTTCAGCCTGAGCCTGACGGGGCCCATCTTATTTTCAACCCTAGGGACAGGCTTCGGGCCAATTTTCAGGTCACAGCTCACAGGCAGCACTGGGGAAGTTTTAGGCTTCTCATTATTTTTTATATTTTAGACATCCATGAATTAAGGTGATGGAAAAGATGTGCTGAGCTGGTGAAAACAACACGAAACCATGCTACCATGACTGTCAAGACCAGCTATCGCGGTGTTTAATGTCCTTGCCAGCAGCAGAAGCAGCGAGTGTGTCTTCAACACAGCTGGAAGAGTTAAGAAAGGATTATTATATTAATTGTTTAATTAATTGAATTAATTGTTAATTTAATTACTTAAATATATACCATAATGAGCCTTTAATATTTAGGTTAGCCTATTCCGCGCTCAAGTGCAGGCATGAAGCTTGCCGCAAAGCACTGGCAAAAGTAATGACTATGAATGTGTCATGGGAGAAAAAAAATAGTAAGGAGATATTTTAATTATTTATTTTTAAACTAGTGTTCTCTGTGTGAGTGTCAGCTGCAAAGATGCAACTGGCAAATGGTTTGTTTTAAAGCAGACATTTCAATATTTTTATAGACATATTTCTCACGTCAGTGAGGCAAGCACCCATATGCTATACATGTTTCGGTTCATTTTTGTACATATTCCATTTTTTTTAAAAGTTCTAACTAGTAAAAGTCTAATTTGAAAGTCAGCCCCAGTACTGTCCTTCCTAAATCACAGTGAAAAGATTTTTTAAAAAAAATGTTTTTTTAATGGTGTCACTCCCTACTTATTAACACTCCTTACATATTAACAATATGTACTTACTACAGGGCTATGTTTTAGTTTAGGCTTGGTTGCTTGTTGACTTGGTTTTATTGACTTTGAGTTTCATACAAGAATTTCAATTTTCAGTCTATTTGAGCTTAATAACTCTTCCTCCGTAATAACGTAATCCTAACTCTTTGACAAGCAAAGTTCAAGTGTTTGCTTTCAAAGGGACCAGAATTATACCTGTAGACAAGAGGTTTTAGGAGCTACAGCCATTTAATTTTGGATATGATATTTTTGACTTTCATGATGCTTGAGGTGTTGATTTTATGAAAAGAATGACACACACACCAAGGGCTGGCATTATACACATGGCAAATGTTTAAATGACTATGTTAAATAGTTCTGCTGAATTAATTCCAGAGGCAATTAAAAAAAAAAGGAGAATATAGTTATATAGAATATAGCTATTGTTAAAGGTATTTTTCTTACTTCCTCTTGGCTCCTCTTTACTAGTGTATTCACACTGCCAAGCAGACGGTTGAGTGTTGCGGTTGGAATTGGTTTGGGGAAGTACTTTAACACAGTACTTATTACCAGGCTGAAGATTCTGCAGGACATACTGTTTACTTGACGTATAGATCTGGTTGGCCTATATGATTAACAAGACAACAGTAAAAGACTTTAGAAATTCAGCTGATGTGATGTTACAAGTAGTGCTGGGCAGTAAACCGGTTCATACCGAATACCGGGGTTTATTTTTATGATATGAATTTTTAAAATACCGCAATACCGGTGTATGTCGCGTAAACAACGTTCGGAACGCGACACTGTTTGAAAGGGGTCCCTTTACACTGTTGCACTGTGGTGAGGGAACAGCTGTATGTGTTACTAAGCGTGAAAGTTCAGAAACTGAAGCTGTAGAACTAACAGAACGTGATGACACAGAAGAACTCATCCACAATATCCACACTGACCGCCACAAATATCCTCCGCCCCTGCCATCAGCTCCCGCGTCTCACACACACACGAGCGCGACTTTAGCACTAGATTAATCAACTTTCAGACCCTTTTAGCGGCTTTTTTCCATAGAATATTCATACTGACAAACCTAGCGACTTTTTTTGGATAAACCTTGGCTATGGTTCAGTTGAAAGATTTCTCCAGTGCTGTCCCGCGAACGCGAGGTCTGACTTTCCCGGAGAAGTGTCGCCTCTCTCGGCGTCTGTTCTGTGCAGCGAGCGGCAGAGAAGCACCGCAGCCGACTCCTCAATAAATGTGTACAAAACAGCGTTTCCAACCACCTGTCGCTTACTGATTGTTTGGAATGATAAATATGAGCGTAGTTCGTCTGTTAATATCACATGCACTTTCTTGGTTGTTTGTTACTCAGACGCAGGCAGTGCGCTGCGTGAGACAAAAAAGTAATATAGCCAAAACAACCGCATAGCAACCGCATTTAGTGTAGATGCATGTTGATTTTACCAGACGATGCTGCGATTATAAATGAGAGTGACTCCTGGTTAACATGTATTAAAAGGGGTCGTGTTTAGTCACTATTTAGTGTGGTATTTTTTGACAATATTCACTCATCGTGACAGTAAAATAGGGCATTCTAAGTCAATATA